AGCTATATCCACCCTGAAGGTTAATCTTGGACAATATCTGATGATCGACTCTTTTAAATGAAACCAGAGAGCATTGACAGAGAGGAGAAGGTAGAAATGACTCAGCTTGTAACTGAAAATATGGATGGAGGACCTCCGTTTAGCTTGATAGTTTGTCGCGGTAGCACCAAGCTAATACATACTGTATAAGGCAATATAGCTTCGGCAGTGCTAGCACAAAGGCTAACAGGCTAAGCTGAGGTTCTTCTTCCATGAAGCAGCTCTGTTGTCCTCCATCCATATTTTCAGTTACAAGCTGAGTCATTTCTACCTTCTCCTCTCTGTCAATGCTCTCTGGTTTCATTTAAAAGAGTCGATCATCAGATATTGTCCAAGATTAACCTTCAGGGTGGATATAGCTCGGTCACACCGAGGACCTATCCACATCATTTACCCAGAAAGCTTTGTGTGTAAATAAAATGGCTCTGTCCATGTAATATATCTTTAAACTTTTAGTTTAAAAATGATAAAACCTGAACATCCTACAGTATTTTTACAGTCTTTATTTTACAGTTAAAATATATGTTTATTAAATAAAGTCTAATGTTACAACTAATCAGGGATCCCTTTAAAAAAGTGCAATAAGGGTCTGAAAACTGACTAAATAAAGTTGCTTGACAACAATGTGCGTTTATGAATCCCCCAAAAAGTTGGATTTTCCAGGCTTTACCAAAAAAAGAAACTCAGAAACCAAATCTGATATTTTTGATTTGTTTAGCCGATCTACGGTTTTAGACAATCAAGGTAAAAAACTGGCTGATAACTCTGTGCATCTCTGATTACAGTATATTTGAAATGGGAGCATGACTTTCATTAATAATCCCAGGGAACATATGCAGATGTCTATAAAGTACTTGAAAAAAATAAGTAAAAGTCAAATTACATCAACAGAAAATGACTTTCATAAAAATAAATTTCACTGATGAGAAAAAATACTGAAGTAAAAGTCATAAAACTGTTAACAAGAATTGGGAAAGTAAAAGTAAAAGTACTTTTACACATTCTCTAAGAAATAAACTTGAATTTACTGAACCAAACTGGTTCCACTAAGCCAGATTGAGTAAATTTGGGGATATTTGTATATTCTTTGCTCAATTTACTCAACTAGGCTTAGTGGAGCCAGTTGACATGACTTTGTTGAGTAAATTCAACACTTTATTTTTTAGAGTGCAGAAACATCTTTCATGAGTTCAAACATATTTAATTTTGTAACGAGTAACTAGGTGTTACATTTTAAAGTAAAGAAGTAAAAGTGTCATTTTTAGCTTTAAAACGTAAAGAAATAAAAGTAAAAGTAAAAATAATTGGTAAAATTACAAATCCTCAAAAAAACTACTTAAGTACTTTAAGGAAAGTAAATGTACTTAGTTAAACCTCTGAACATAGTTGTAGGGGTATATACTGTAAGTATGGACACTTTCAGTGAAACTCTCAGGCAAATAATCATTGGAGGAACATCAATATATTACCATTTTTTTGGACTATAAGCCGCACCGGACTATAAGCCGCACCCACTATTTAAAAAAAACAACGCGCAAACATCAACATATAAACCGCACCCCCACCCCCCATCAGTAAAAACAAAACAGTACACCCAAAATTGTGGTCAAAAAGGTGAATTCAACATC